TATTACGTAAATCATTACATAATGAGACAAATTTCAACAAATGTGAATTTACGGAAAAATTCTGTGAATTCATCAATTTAATTATTAATTCTGTGTAAGATAGCTGATCAAAATCGACAAAATTTTGTTGGATTTGATCGTAGAATTTCTCCCTTGGGATTGAGTATTTTGGACAATGGAAGAGAAAATGAAATTCGTCTTCAATTATACCAGAGTTACAAATAGGACAGAGTCTATCGTTGCGGGAAGTTTGATTATATCTTCCAGTTTCAATCATGAGTTTGTGGTTACTTATACGAATTTTCACCAAATCTTTCCTATTCGCAGAATTTCTAATTAAGTCTAGATAAGAAAGAAAGAAAGAAAGAAAGCCACTTTGAGTGAAACTAAGGTGGACATGTAATACTCTCTTTGCGCCTTGTTTTTAATCAATTCTACAATAACTGCCATAGCAAGTAGGTATGCCATTAAGATAGTACACATAATAAGAACCACAATGCAGTCTCACTTTGATGTTTGTTGAAAATTCACAACAACCTGCAGTCCAATGAAAACACACCGTCCTGCTGACCTGACCATCTGCTACTGAGGGGTGTCCACCATAGAGTCCAGTTTGTAATGTGAGTCCCACGTCTGTTAGTTGGTTGATATGAAGTTGGCATTCTTATGCCTGCTGAGCCCTCAAAACGAGACCATCCAGGTCCGATTCCACTGTGACAATAACCGTGGTAAGAAGTGTACGTAATCTTGTCAGCGTTGTTAAATAAATGGGTATAGTGACTGCACGCCAGACTGGTCCTCGATGATTACGAATTACACCTCAGAAAAAACAACGCACATTTTCAGTGCGCCATATATTCACACACTTCCCACAATGCCTTACAAGCACGGGTACAGGGTACAGGAGACCCAATATACGATCACTACATCTCCCCATTTTTTTTTCAAATGAAGCAATAGACGATGAAACAAATAAAACTCTGCGCTAGAACTGTAACAATCCCGTAAGGACAGTCAATAAAACTGTTTGAAGATTTCAACGAATAGTTTCTTCTGAACAAAATTTCTCTTGGTCAAAAACTTAGCAAAGTCCTTATATTAAAATCAACTAATCTCTTAACATATTTTTAACAAGCCTGCAGCTTGGCTCGGTTCTCATGCGAGTAGACTTGTTTTGTCGCTCCACCTCTCCGTTTGCCCTTGCCCACAAAGGAATAGTCCTCTTATGCTTGATCTCCAGCAACAATATAACGACTAAGGCGATGCTTTCACCCTAGACGACACGGAACTGGATTCCACTGATGACCTTTTATATATTTGAGCAGGGTTAGCTCTGAACCATATCTAATCTTTGGTGGATTCAATATGAATACTGTTAAACAGGGGAGCGTAATGTCCTTTTAAAGTAGGTCCTTCCACGTGCACCCCACCCGATATCCTTCTTTCCTACTTACAACGAAACTTGCAATTCAGCGTAGAAAAATGTGCTGGTTAAGAGTAGTGCGTAAGCACATATTAATCTTTAAAGGTAGGTATACCTGGACTTCCTTGAACAAGAAGCATATACACTATAGCTTCCATAGAAATAGCGCACCTGGACAAGCAGAACGTGTTGCTCTCCCGACATCTTGCTTTAACTAAAAAGTAATATTTCCTTTCTTGATAATAATATTTCCCGTTGTGTTCTCTTAAAGGGATAAGTAAAGCACAGAGAAGTAATCTGCATCAGAAGTAAAGCACAGAGTATTTGAATTATTTGTTTCTAAGTATTTGAGTGAGTGCCTGTAAACTACCTGGATAAGCTAAGTGCACTTTTCACCGTGACTATAAGCAAGCCTTAACCTTTTTTAAACCTTTAAACCGTTTTTCAAATCACATTACAGTGGCCTAAAAATGTAAAACGATTAAACTGACATGAACACACTTAATTAAGTCTCCTTTTGGTTGGTCTATTTCTCTCCCTCTCTCTTATTTGGCCTCATTTATTTAGGAAGCAGGAGTTCAACCCGGAAGTATTTTTTGACTGTCGGGCTTCAGTTGGCAATCCACATCCTGCCTCTATTTAACCCGTGTTCTTTTGTTCGACTGTTGTTTCCTTTTCCAGATGCTTTGATTCATGCACTTCCCAGAATAATAGCAAATGCAATCAATTCAGCATTGCATCCTGCAGGTTTTCATTTCGTACTGTTGTTGTTGAATCAGTTCGGATCTACCCATTTGATATAACTAGAATTCCCACCCAACTGTGAGAGGGAACACATTTTTGATCCAATGTAAGACAATCTGTAAGTGTCTGCAGGGTCTTACTGGGGCGAATCAATAATTAAAAAAACGATTTAGAGCAGGCTAAGAGAAGAACAGGGAGGTTTCCACGCAGGAAGGGGCTGCGCCGATCACATATTCACTTTGTGCATGTGACATAGGCCTTTTTTTATGATCCCTTTTACAGAGGGACCGGGCAAATCGTGAGTACTCGAAATATTTCAGGAATATTTATTGTGTTATGACACGCGAACTAGCCACAAAACCACAAACTGTAATTAACGTTCTTGCTTGCCGATTAGTTTTCTCAAGCCTGATTGTTCTTTTTTTGTTTTTTTTTTTTTCTCGCAACACAGTAACATTCGAGAAATATTTCTGGTGTTCACGGTTTTTTCGGTTTGACTGTAATCTAGCCTGGGACCAGGCTCCTCATTGTGGGGAAAAGGGGGAAAAAAATCGGCTTTGGCGAAAAAAAAAAAAAAAAAAAAAAAAAAAAATCGCGCTCGGCTTGCTCCGCTCGCCGATATTTTTCCTATTTGACCCCGTTTTTTGCCTTTTTCCCCCAATGCGGAGCCTGGTCCCAGGCTAACTGTAATTCGAAATCCTTCTTCACAATACGCTCTCAGAGGCTTTTGCTGTTAACTCCGGAGTAGAGTTAAGGCAAGTAAGGCAGGTTGAATGGTTAAATTAGTATTAATAGGTCGTTGCAATGCTGAGAGATACCCGTCAACACAGAGGTATACAGTTCGACCTTCTTTACTCATCCTGAAGTGCTGATGATTTGGCTATACTCTCGAGTATTGGTCCTCGATCTTTGAGAAGAAAAAGACTGTAAACGGATTTGCCTGAAGCGCAAGGCTCGCGCCATGCAAGAGAATCCAAATCCGGAATCCCGGAAATTTTTTTCCTTGTTGACGGCTGGAATATTAGAAATTTTGATGGAAGAATTCGGGATCCTAGGCTTTGGAATCCCGAATCTACGGCGTGGAAACCAGAATCTAGGACTGTCTTGTATTCCCTTATATGGGGCGATAAGGCGATGCTCTCACCCCAGATGTTCACTTATTTGGGAAGCGTTATTAGCAATGAAGATGGTTCTCGGAGAGATATTAATAAGGTAAGGCCGGGAAAGGTCTGAAGGGTATTTAGTAATAACACAGCGAGTCGACTAAAATCCAACTGTATAACAGCTGTACGTGTGAACAAGCTCGGTGCCTTTATACGGCAGGAGTACTAGAAAGTGGCCAAATAAAATGTGAGTTAAGATGAAGATTCCCAAAACGGATAAAGACGGGGGATCTGTAATGGAGACCCAGAGACTGAAGCAGGCTGTCATTCTTAGAGAGTTCCCAAAAGGGTTCTTCAATCCCGTAATCCCGAGGGTTTTTTGGCAACCCACCCCCCAGCTCCGTCCCGCGCATACCGTCAATCCCCAAACTCGCCCTGATTTTGCTTTAAAATCCCGAGTCCCGAGCGTCAAATAAGGGAATCTTGTATCCCGAGAAACCTTTTGGGGACCCTCTTCTTAGCAAGACAGCTAGCCTGCGTAGCTGCCGGTATTTTTTTGTGCGTCGTCCCCACTCCCGTTTTTGGATCACGGCTCTGCCGGCAAGACTTTAATCGCTCACCGAGACAATACCGCCGGCTACGCAGGCTACATGACAGCCTGTTTAAATCTCGCCAGGGTCAAAAAAAATTGCCTTCGGTTCCTAGTTAATGTCAATTTTCTTTCTAGAGTCGTCGAGTCGTCGTTGTGTTTTTCACGCGCAAGTATACGATTGACATTTGACGCAACTTGCACACTTGATTCACACAGTAAAACTCCACTGTCTGGCCTGGATTTAGCTCTGCAATTGGTAGCTTTATGTAATCCGGGGTTTAGAAGATTCAGGTAGTGAGCAAAATGACGCTAATGTGCAAATAGCCTATTGTCATACTCAATAAAAATAAACGCCTTTGACAGGTGTTTCATTATAAAGTGTACGTTTATTTCGCAAAGAAAATTTAACCCTAATCCAAAAATTGCCTCAACATAGTGCAGTCCCCTTCGGGACCGCGAGTTAGTGTCCTGGTTAGCAAACAATGCAAGAGTCTGTAGTAGAAGGGGATTAAGCTAGCTGCTGTTCGTTTTGCCGGCGTGTGCGCAAGACGAGAGTTGACTGTTCCTATAGTCGTTATGTATTTCGTTTCCGAGTTTACATAATGTATCCATATACCTACATTAAAACAAGTAAGTAGATTCATACCCCCGTTCTTACAGGCATATCTTCTAAGTTAAAACATCTGTCCATCGTAGTTTATTTAGCAAATGCATGGCGTTCTTGGACTCAGTGTATATTTCTGATCACCGTGACAAGTAACACAGAAACCTGCATTGCTAATTGAATGTATTATTTTGCCTAGTTTGACTTCCTGGTAAGTTCTATTACTGTTATTGTATTTCTTACTTGATCTTCAAAACAACTTAAAAGAAAATTTATGTTCATTTTAAGTTTAAAGAAAACTGTTATTGCTTGCTAACGCGAGTAGTACGTTGTTCTGTATAGTGCTATATTGTGTTATATATATAGTGCTATATATTTTTTTTCTCCCTTTGCTTAAGTTATAGAAATTCAGATATGGAAGTTAAGTGCAGTATACCTTTTTTCTTTTCTTTTTTTTTCTTTCAATTCTTTAAAACAATGAAGCCTACTTAAGTGAAATGATTGAATCTGTTTTACTTTACTTGCACCTTGTTT